GTTGCAGTAACTGTTGTCTTTGTTAGGGTTTCTTTTTCAGTCAGCATTCCTGAATTTACAGTAGTTTTGAAGACTTTCTAACATCTAAAATAGTAACGTGCGTGAGAGAATTTCACCTTCTAGTTAAATCATTTAAAATCCAGTGAAGTTCAGCTGGTTGCCTATATTAACTCACATCAGTCTGTTGTTTGTCTAGATGAAGAAAACGGGAATATCAGTTTTACTTTGTCCTTTCCTCTCTCACAGGGCAGCGACGCAGATAAGAGTGATGATAATTTGGTGGTGGATGAGGTTTGTAGGTGCCCCCTGGCTTCTGTTTGACTCATTTCATCAAGTTAGATCATGTACAGAATCATGAATATCAATAATCCCTTTTCTGCCTCACACACACACACACACACACACACACACACACACACACACACACACACACACACACACACACACACACACACACACACACACACACACACACACACACACACACACACACACACACACACACACACACACACACAGGTTCATGAATCTCAGCCTGTTGCAGAAAAAAGTCTTTAAAAATATATAAATTTTTTGCATTAAATTTGAGCTGCAAGGAAAGGTGAGAGATACGCAGAGAGCTGAATTGTTTTCTAACGCCTTAGCTGAGCTGAGAGCAGCCGGGGAAAACCAGGTCCGACCAGAATATTCCTCCTGCCGGTGTTTCTGATTTAGACAGCTGAAATCTCTTTAAGCCCGAGTAGAACATGATTACTCGACACTCGTAATCTGATGAAAACACAGACACACAAATCTGAGCTCATCATTTAGAAATAAACAAACAAGGGTGCAGAAAATCTTCGTGTTGAAATGGATTTGAGACACAAATCTGATCTGGATTCAGTCTGAATCTAATGTCTCTGTGTGCAGTTTTATCACCTGTTAACCCTTTAATGATTTAAAACTACTGCTGTCCCATATTACCTGATAGATTTACAGGCTTGCTTTTAGCACCCCTTAGTGTCTGTTATTAATGCACTTTTGTAAAACTGAAAGTGAAACTCCTTGCCGTGCCACTCTGAAGTTGCAAGTGCGATATTCTGGCCACAGAGGCCGGTGGGGTCTGAGTGACGTTTAGTTAACCCTGTAAAGCGTCATTTTAGCACATACCGCCTCAAGAAAAGGATTTAAGATGTGAAAAAGTAGCAAATTATCCCTTTAAAATGAAAACAAGATGAATAGTTGGTTTGGTTTTGAGTTTGTGTAAAATGTGTGTTAACAGTTTTTTATCTGATGTAAACACAAACTCTTTACCATTGCACTAAAACAGGACTGCAGGTTTTCATCAGCATCAGGAACGGCACCAAAGACCACAAATAGTTATAGTAATAGTTGGTAGTATAAGTCTGATAAATGATAAATGACCCGCACTTGTAGCTCGTTTCAGAGTCAGAGGACTCCAACGCACTTTACACTACAGTGTGTCATTTATCCATTCACACACTAGTAGTGATGAGATACACCACCCACAGCTGCCCTGGAGCTGACAGAGTAACCCGTGTCTGAACATGTTAAGTAAGTAAATATTTGTTTCTATTGCTGAACGAGGCTGCGTTTGTCCTCATGATCAGGACCCCTCGTCCCCCCGCAGCGTGCAGTCCTACTCATCACGGGAGAATGGTTTAGACAAGATGCCCCCGTCTCGTAAGGAAGGACCCCCACAAGCCAGCCCCACCTCCCTGGCATCGTCCAGCAGCGCTACCTCCCCCTCACGGGGCAAAGAGCCCCCACAGGTACGTGCTGTGGATCCTTTCTGCCCTGTTTAAACCAAATAAACTCCTCATTTCAACTTTTCCTGTTTGCTCTCGCCCAGAGAGAAAAGTCCAGCACCCCCGGTATGAAGCCAGGGACACCCATGTCTCAGGATTCCAACACCCCAGGACCAAGTGGGCCCCCACAGTTCAGACCCATCCCTGGAAAGCCTGGTGTGGACCCTTTAGGTAAACTGCTGAATCAGCTTGAATGAATGAAAACACACAACCATGCAGGAGCGTGTAGCCTGTTCTGGCCGTGTTACATGAAGCGTTTCCACGCCGACCGCTGTAGCTGGTGTGAATGTCATCCAGCTCCCCACCGCCGACCACCATCTGGACTTACTAAGCAGCTGTGGGCAAAAATATTCAGCACCTCGCGTTTTAAATGGAAAGATTAGGAGAGGTGATGGACTGTGACAGTGAGCTGCTTCATAATGAGTCTCCAACTATTCCAGTGTGTCTCTCTCTTCCTCTCTCTCTCTTTTTTCACACCTCACCTGTTCGCTCCTGCTCCAGTTTCACACACTCTGTTATGTATGCGAGCAAGCATCTAAATACAATGCACCTACACGTGTGGACAGAGGATAGAGAGGATGTTCCTGTGGATACACACGGACAGGCGTGCATGTGCAGACCTGCTGCAAAGGGGTATTTTGGTCAGCAGGGGGCAGTAGTGTTCCAGTGCTCCACATACTGCTCCCATTGCATCTTTTTCACAGCTTGCCAGTCACAGTGGTGTAAAAGGCTCTGCAGAAGGAGTCACCCTAACTGATTTTGTCTCATGCAGAGATTATAAGTAAAACTCTGTTGCTAATTTTTCCAAAACAGATGAACATTCTTCTTTTTTTTTACCTCATCTCACCTCCAGCTCTGGGCCTGAGGAACCCCTTGGCGGTGCAGGGAGCATACCCTCCAGGAGCTTTTGGCCTGCCTCCTCCAGGGGTGAACGGTGACCTGCCGGGGACAGCGGGCTATGGCTCTGGCCTTCACTTGGTGTCCCCTCAGATGAACGGAGCCGCCGCCGCCGCGGCAGCTGCAGCTGCTGCAGGCTACGGACGGTCCCCTGTGGTGAGCCTGATGCTCTGCAGATCATTTGTCTTTGCAGCGTCACGTCACGTGCAATGTCTCAGCGTGAGAAGGTGTCTGGGGGGTTAAAGGACGGATATTTATGGGGACAGGACGAGTGTTTAGAGAGAGAGAGCTGCTGATTGGTCATTTATCTTTAATAATCTATAACAGTCAGTGACCTTGGCTGTCTGAAACTCGCCTTGCTTTCATATAATCTCATTTAGTTCACATTTTTCAGCTGATACTATCCTTGCTTTGCCCGTTTTAATAGTAGTTCTTATCTCGTCCAGGTGGGATACGAGTCTCAACACCCACATATGAGGGTCCCCGGGCTTCCTGCCAGCCTGCAGACAGCCTCAGGAAAACCGTGAGGACTTTTTCTTCCTGCCTTTGACTTGAATCTTCTCTAGTTCACCTCTTTTGTTCTCCCAGAAGGATCACCCTCATCACTTACAAATTCACTCACATTCCCTCGATGCTGATGTTTGAAAACTGTTTAACAGGAAATGAGACTTTTAACTCATTCACAGCCAGCCGTTTCCTGATCAGAAAAGCCCTTCGCTGCCAGAGTTTTTTTTAGTGTTTTCACTGTTTTTAAGAGTCACAGAACGTTGCGCGCTAGGACGATGTCAACACCAAAACTACCAAAACAAAGAGGAGACTCACCTCTTACATCAGGAAGAATCCACGAGTTTCGAGCGTTATCCGTTCTTTCATAATCCCATGAGGCCCAAAACGATCGAACACACGGATTTTCAGCTTCCTGATCATGTGACGTGTGACGAATGCTGACGATTGGCTTTAGAGCTGGGGTGTTTGTTCTCACGGTGCGAGGGCTCGTTCCGACGCCCACACAGTAAAACAACAAACAAATGACGACTTTAGTTGTCAGTGGCAGTTAATGAGTTAAATGCTGTCGAGAGAGCATATTTCAGTTTCGTCCGCCTGATGTGATTCTAGTTTTTTGCATTTTTATATTAATTTTAGACCGAATGGCTACATGGATGCTGTTTGGTTTCATCCCTCTAGAATTTATTCAGGAAATGTTGAAAAAGCATTTTAACGGCACTGAAAGATGACTGAAGGTGACATCATTAACTCAAAGTCTCAGTGGAGTTTTTAAAGGAAAAGACTTTTTGATTCTGTCGGTTTTTTCCTTTTAATAAAGAAGCTGGCGAAAGCACTCCTAGTCACATGGCGGCTCTCACATCTTCCTCCTCCTGTCTCCGTCTCAGTGCCTACTCGTTCCACGTGAGCGCGGACGGTCAGATGCAGCCGGTGCCGTTTCCCCCCGATGCCTTGCTGGGTCCGGGAATCCCGCGTCACGCCCGTCAGATCCACACGCTGAACCACGGGGAGGTGGTGTGCGCCGTCACCATCAGCACCTCCACGCGCCACGTTTACACCGGAGGCAAAGGCTGCGTTAAGGTGTGGGACATCAGCCAACCAGGAAGCAAGAGTCCCATGGCCCAGCTGGACTGTCTGGTGAGACCCGATGGATCAGGGAGGCACTTTGATGCTTTCAAACCTTCCTAAAATATTTGGATTTTTTTTTCCTTACCATGCGTCTTTTCTTCACCCAATCAGAACAGAGATAACTACATCCGATCCTGCAAGCTGCTTTCTGACGGGCGAACCTTGATTGTTGGCGGTGAGGCCAGCACGTTGTCCATCTGGGATTTAGCCACGCCCACTCCCCGCATCAAGGCGGAGCTAACGTCTTCTGCTCCGGCCTGCTACGCTCTGGCCATCTCTCCTGACAACAAGGTGTGCTTCTCCTGCTGCAGCGATGGAAACATCGTCGTCTGGGACCTCCACAACCAGACGCTGGTCAGGTGAGACGAGAACAAACGACTCACGCTGACGGTTTTCCTCCAGGAGAGTCGGCTCAGTATAAATAGCAAAGAAGACTGAGAAAGGAGGTTATGAAGTGTGTAATCTTGTCAGTCATGACGTAGAATTTGTTGTCAAGTAGAGTTATTTTATCTATTTATTTTTTTTGTAAAAGTCACAAAAAAATATTAGTTGAAATCATTTCTAAGTGACGGTTCCCACATGCTAATTTTCCACCTCTGAATGCTGTTAGCAAAATATCAAATTCAAACAGGAAGCATCTAGGAAATTGTTGTTTTATTGACACCCTTCCGTAAAGATGCTCTGATACCAGTCTGTTGGGTCGGGCTGCAGAACGCTCACCTTAGTGAGGAAACAGGTTGTCACAAAGCTTTAACTGTTTACTCACTCGTAGTAGAGACGTGAACCTTCTCGAGTCTCACGATTCAGTTATGATGACCATGGCAATGATTCAATTCAGATGTCAGATATTTGGTGTTTTTTAATCAAAAACGTGCCAGACAAGACATGCAATGTCCCAAAAAGCTCTTTGACCACAACAGTCCTTAGGACAACATTTGAGAAGATTCAACAGTGAAACAAAAATAAAATGTTTCCTCATTCTACATCTCAGACTGTGGGAAAAACCTGCTCTGCACAAGTTAACAAAATCTACTAAAGATACTGAAAACTTAAAGGATGTGTCCACTTGTTGCTTTCAGTTTGGTTGATAAAATCCATAATGGTTGTCTTTGGAACAGCTTGAGAACCGTGTTTGCCACAGTTAAAAACAAACTGCATTACACAATAATCCATTATGGTGTGCTTCTTCAACGATTCAAAGTCATTTGTTTGCATCTGGATCATTAGATTAATCCCCCCAGCTCTAATTCATAGTGATTATGTGGTCTGATCTCAGGTGAGACAAATTCATACATCTAGTCATGAATGTTAAAAATGAAATCAAAATTTTCCAATCGGGTACAAAAAGAAAAAAGAAATGATGCAGCATCTGGTCGCTGGGTTAAAGCTGCTATAGTGAATCTATAGAACAAGCTAGGTCTTGAGCACAAACGTGGTCACTGAACACTCACCCCTCCACCCCCCGACGCTTGTCGCGACCAGACGCCCGAGGTGACAGAGGAAACGAGAACGCGCTAAACACCAGTCGCAGTTTTCTAGGTATTCTTTTGTTGTCTGTGACTTCAAACGGTGTTTTTCATTTTAGGACTCTGGTAGTTTGTCCTAAAGTTAAAGTGGTAGCAGCCGGCTGTTTTTCCTTCTCTGATATTGTTAAGTAAAAAACAGGTGTTGGCCAGATGGTCCAATGGTTGCTTTCGGTCAGAAACATGTTATTGACAGAGGTTTTTAGACAAACACGAAAGAACCACTTTATTAATTAATTAAATAAATTAAAAATACCTCCACAATGTGTGTATGTAGCTATATCGAAATGTTAAGAGACTACAGATGTTTTTAGCTCATTTGTTTTGCAGTTGTAGCTTCTAAGGGTGTGTAGTTTCTGAGAATCTGGTCTTTTTTTCTACAGGCAGTTCCAGGGCCACACCGACGGGGCCAGCTGCATCGACATCTCCAACGACGGCACCAAACTCTGGACAGGTGGACTGGACAACACGGTCCGCTGCTGGGACCTCCGGGAGGGACGGCAGCTGCAGCAGCATGACTTCACCTCTCAGGTACTCAAGCCAAATAAACACAGGAAGAATAATCATGACTCAGCATCATTTGTTCCTAAACGTCCTCCATCTCTGCCTCTAGATCTTCTCTCTGGGCTACTGTCCGACAGGCGAGTGGCTCGCCGTGGGGATGGAGAGCAGCAATGTGGAAGTCCTGCACGTCTCCAAACCGGACAAATACCAGCTGCACCTCCACGAGAGCTGCGTCCTCTCACTTAAGTTCGCCTACTGCGGTACTCACGCACGCACACACACACACGCACACACACACACACACACACACACACACACACACACACACAGAATTCTTGAGAGCAGATCTTAATTTCTCTTCACCGTTCAGAAATCTCCCATTCTCCTCAGAGCTTCTCTTCAGAATGAGCAGCTCCACATCTCGTCTCCCGTGAGGCTTTATCAGCTGATCTGTGTGTTTCGTCCTGTAGGTAAATGGTTCGTGAGCACAGGGAAAGATAACCTTCTGAACGCCTGGCGGACACCCTACGGGTCAAGCATATTCCAGGTGAGACGTCCGAGTTCTATGTGCATAGGACAAATTATGTGGCGTTACTTTAAAACTCCTTTTTGGGCTGACTGTCCCTTTCTGTCTCTGCGTTCAGTCCAAGGAGTCTTCATCAGTTCTCAGCTGTGATATCTCACCTGACGACCAGTTCATTGTCACCGGTTCTGGAGACAAGAAGGCCACAGTCTACGAAGTCATCTACTGATCTCTGATTGGCTCTCCACAGTAAACGAAATAATCAGAGGGTGGAGCCAAGGCCCCCTCCTGCACCAATGACTGTACAGAGAGTTGCTGGCATGGAAAGCAAGAGACACTTCTTGTACTTTGTTGTTTCATTCACGTTTGGGAGGAAAGAGGAGGAGAAGCAATGAGGGACAAAGTCACATCTCTGGAAAAACTTTGATTTAAATGCTCTGAGAACGCTGGTTAGTCTATAGCTGTGAGATTGTGGGATTACTCCAAAGAACTTTTGTTTCTGTTCCCTTTTTTAACAAATGAAAACCTCTGTAGTGTGAGAAGATAGAAAAAACCCAACTTGTTTTTAGCTTTTGGATTTACTGCAAACAGTTGTACTGCTTTGGGTAGAGTCGAAAGGCAGAGAAGAAGTTTTCATTCAGAAATAATGTCCTGACTCGGTGCTGTGTGCAGAGTCCGAGCCCAAACCGTCGTCTCGGCCCAGTCTGGTCTCTCCCAGCACACGGCTGCTTTTGGAGGCAGCAGGTGAGTAGCAGATGGCAGGACGGTCTGCTGAGGATCCAGATTATTTTTTTCAGCAGCAACATGATTGTAAAATTTCTCATGCATTCGTGGCAGAACAGGGCTTGGTTGGTTTCTTCTTAAATGTCCTGAAATGGCCGTGTTTGTGTCTTTTTCAGTTTTTTTTTTTTTTACAAGAAAGTGGGATAAAGGCTCTGACACGAGACAAAAACCTCCACAAACTCTATAGAATCAGTACAAATCCTCTGCTGCAACTTTCCTCTCCTCTCATGTTTTTCTGTTGGACTTAGGGCACATATAGTTTTCTAAACTACCATCATGACCCTTGAACCTTGCTATATATGAACATGTAAATAAAGTTCTCTAAAGACAAAGACCCGAGCTTTTGTCTCTTGAGACCTTAAAGAAAAGTCCAGCTGTCTGATTTTCTACTCCCAAGGACGTGTGAAGATGCATAATGGTTTTAGAAATGAGGTGGCGCTGGCGTCTTAAGTGCTCGATTCTCCTGTCAGGCTTTTGGCATCTTCGACTTGGATGTTCCAGACGGAAAAAGGAAGCAGTCAATGATTTGTTCAAACGTTAACAACCAGAACAGCGTGTTCTCTCAGCGTGGTGTCAGAAAGAATCTTAGAAATGTTTGGATGAAAAATCAGGGATGTGAAAGGTGAGAGAGCACACACACACACACACACACACACACACACACTGTTCTCTCTTCTGTGATGACGGCATCCCTCTCATTCTGAGGGAACAATGAGCGTCTGAAACTAACTGTCGTCAGATTGAGAAAGCGTCTTGGGATTCAAACCCGCAGCGTCACGAGCTGATTCACAGCTCAATTAGCAGCTTTAAAGTTTATGTGCGGGGTTAGGGTTGAAGAATTTCAGTAGCTCTGGGTAGTTTTGAAGAAAGAGTTGACAAATATGTTAAACAATCTATTTTTAAACTGAATGATGGAATAAAACTCCAGGCTGATCAGCCTCTGGTCCGCTGGTGTGGCAGAGTAAAGCCCCACTTACTCACCTGTTCTGAAACTTGTGTTTTTATTTAAAACTCATTTAAGATTATCTTAGATGTTCACTGCAATAACATACAACACTCAAATCATAAATCTACAGAAACAAAGCTGCCACCCTAGTTAGAGCAATGTCACATTACAGTGTGTTAATGTAACACTTAACAAGAAGGGTCCCTTGTTTAACATTGGTGCATTATTAATCATTAAAGTATTAATGAAACAATTGTTGACGTTAAGGGACCCTTGTAAAGTTTGATGGTCAAATATAATTTTGGGCTTACAATATTAATATAACATTGTAAGAATGTGAACATGATAGAACAATAAAACTTCACATAAATTATGTAATCATTTTCGTTGTGTGTGTAGTCAGGGGCGGGGGTGGGCACTAACTGGTGACGGATCAGATTTGATTGTAAATCTGAACGGAAGAGAACATAAATCTGTCTCTATAGGCTCAGCAGGATGTTTGTGGAACACCAGCTTTCCTGTTTGCATCGTCGGGATTTAAAAACACTGCAAACACGTGGAAGGATGAACACACGTTTCATTTATTTTTCACACATAGTATTTCTTGTACAGCACAAGGAAAAAGAAACATCATGGGGGAAGACGGGGTGCATTAAAAAAAAGTTCCTTGGCTTTTAAAGAGAAACCGACATGAGCCGTAAAACAGATTTTATACACAGTTGGAACAGAAGCACAGGCAGGGGAGACTTGTAATCTAGTTAAAGGAGTATCAAATACTGATGCTAACCCAACAGATGCACAGCTATCATACAGCATCGTTTAGAGTCGTATATGAGCTGGTGCATGAGTTAATGGCTACCTGGGACTGTCCGAAAGTGAGAGGCAGGCAAAGGCATGAAACTACAGATTAACGTTCATCTCTGGTGTGTTCTGCTTTAGTGCTGCAGCGACAAATTGGCAAATCTTAAGCTTTTTACAGAGAAAGTAAATAGCATACCGCCATTCTGTGGGACCCTCAGTCTTTGTCACTGACCTGATGCTTCGTGTCAGCTGCAGAGGTTTAGAGCAAAGAGCATGCAGTCACACTGGAACGTCTTTGATGGTGCCTGCTGCACACAGACCAGACTCAACAGAAGCTGAATACAACACTAAAAGGACTGAAAACCGACTAAAGTGTGATTACTACCACTTTCTGAAATGGGGGAATAAAATATAAACAGCAGACAGGTAACCTCTCTTATACAGGGGGGATATTTTTTGTATCTGTACACTGGATGGCCAAAGCTGTACACCCTCCGACATTACCAAGAATTAAAAAGGTACACAAATAAAACTAAATCCCTACCTGTGTTCCCTTGTTCTTTATTGATTTTTTTCTGAATCCCAAAACCAGCAACGATCAGCAGACAAACATTACATCATGAAAAACACTGAACAGCTCAAATAATTAAAACGGAGATGGTCAAATGTGCCGTTTTTGTTTTAAACTCTTCTGATGTACGCCACAGAAACAGGAGCTCTAGTATCTTCTCACTGGTGGATCAAAAAGTAAAGAAGCAGATCAGCAGTACCGACAGATTCTGCTCAAGTCTGCAGAGTAACGGTGCTTAGTTTACCTCACAGGCTGGAAAAAGACAGTTTATGTGATGAAATCTGCTGTAGTGTGAGGCTAAAACCATCATCTCACATGATAAATAATCAATGCTCCATTCAGGTACTTTTTTCCTCCAACATCATTAGCTTCTATCCCCCCCACCCCCACCCCACCCCACACACAAAACTTAAATATAATCTAAAAGTTCAGGCTGAGATTTATAATCCACATTTTTGCAGAACAAGTAACTTCCTGCGATCTTCCTGTTGCCAGGCAACTATTTCAGATCAGAATATTTTGGGGGGAATTTGATCAATTTCACATTTGGCCTCCCTGATGCAACAGCTAGCGCTACGCTAGTTGTTTATTTGTTTTTAGCCTCACGGCCAGCTCATAAAGTTAAAGTCCCATCAGTTGTAACACACACAGGTGTGTGTGCGAAATTTGTTCTCCGCATTTGAGCCATCCCCTGGGGGAGCGGTGAGCCGCAGACACAGCTGCGCTCGGGAACCATTTGGTGGTTTAATGAGCACGGTGAATTTAAATCATAAAGTAAAATAATTTCTATGAGTCGATCAGTGTTGTAAGTAGTCAAAAGATCATTAGCTTATTAAGATTTAGCTCAAAGTGTGAAGCAGAAGGCAAGCACGGTTAGCCTCTGATGATGATGATGTAACGTTGTTACGTCACCCTGCTGTCAGAGCGGTGCTGGGTGTCAGCACAACAATCTGGAGGAATTAAGATGGAGCATTCAGCTGATGTTCTGTGTTTGTGTCTTCAGGCACTGGGATACCCCCACCCCCCCCCCCCCCCCCCCCCCCCCCCAATTAGATGCTGCCTTTGTCAGAACATAAAACTAAATATTACGCAGCGAGACGGGGAGCGCTGCGATGAATGTTTAATTGGGTGCTCGGTGTGTTATGTGTTTTTCTCCTTTCATACCTCGGGGGGGGGGGGGGGGGGGGGGGGGGGGGGGGGGGTAAAGGAGTATGTGTGTGTTCTCGCCTGGTGATGAGTGTGTGTGTGTATCCGAGCCGGTTTCATGTCAGTTTATGTAGGAATCTGAAGCGGCCCCTTTGCTCCATCGTACAGCGCCGCCGCCTCCCGGTTCCTGACGCCTCTCGGTGGAGAGATGGAGCTCCAGCGCCGGCCTCGTTAAGGCCTCCACTGTCTGGCTAATGAATCGACTGTGTGGTATCAGTGCTCCTGGCTGGTGCTCCCACAGTGCCGCTTCGCGCCTCCTCCGGGGGCCTCCCTTCCACTGAGCTCTTAATCAGGAAACAGCCCTAATTACCCTGCCTTCCACCTCATCACCCCCTCCCCCTTTAATTTCTCTTTCTTCCACTCCCTCTCTCTTTTGCTTCTCATTTTTCCTCCGCTTTCTCCGCACAACTTTATCTTCACACTCCACCGCCCTCTTCCTTTGTCTTTCTTATCTCGCTGTTTTTCATTCAGCCTCCCTCTTTGCTATCAAGCCTCATGCGTTGAGCTAAAAAAGGAGCAGGAGGAGGGGGGTGGGGCTTTCTTTAGTGTTTTTTTTTTATCACAGCAGAACAAAGAGAGCAGTGGTGAACTTTTAGAGTCAAAGGTCAGCCCCAGATGCTGCTGTTGCAAATGTAATGAGGATCGGGTTTAGTTGGCAGGAGAACCAGTTGCTCCATCTGCACTAAGTCCCCCAAAAGAAAAACAAAAACACAGAAAATGCACTCTCCATCCTGTTGCTTCCTGTCCCGGTCCTCAGTACACCACCTCGTACACCGTGGCCTTCTTGTCCCCCGAGCCCGTCACTATGTACTTGTCGTCCGGGGAGACGTCGCAGCTCAGCACAGATGACGACTCCTTGGACTGCGAGGGGTGGAGCCGGAGGAGAGATGGAAGCACAAAGACGAGATGTGATTCATCACCTAATTCTCAATCACACAAGACACACTTTTGCATTTCAAAAACAGTCAGCAATTATTTCCAACCCGGAATCTGCACAGCTCTGGGATGCTGACTCATTCGCCTGTTTCAATGTGAGACATACGTTTTATTTTTTATCTGTGAGACGCTGCCTCATTAAGCAGGTTGGATGGCTTGCAGGAACTGACAAAATGCTGCCTTTTTATTTGCTTCCTTTTCCTCCTCCGTGTCAGAAAGTCAGACCCGTGCACCTGGTCTTGGATCCATCTAGCTCCTTCAGCTCTGCCACCTCCCCTCCTACTGCTCCATCACCATTCATCTTCCCTCCTTTCGCCTCAGACTCTCCTCCTCCTCCTGCCCCTTCCTTCACTCAGCGCTCCTCTCTAAAGTTGCACAGCCATGCACAGCGGAGCTGTCAATCGTCAAGGCACCGGTGAGAGGCCATTTCACACCGGATTCCCCATCCTAAACCAAGACGGCAGGAGGTAGAGTGAGGGGCGTCCAGAAGAGAGAGGTGCAGTGACAGGCTAATGGATGGGGCTGGGCTGGAGGAAGAGGAGAGTAAAGAGAAAACACGAGTCCTCCAACATGTGAAGAAGGTTATTAGATATTTCTACCAAAGAAAGTTACAGCAAACTATGTTTATCTAAAAGGAGAAGTTGATGGTTTATGGGGCATACACATACACACACACACACACACACACCGGTAGGCTAATGCGGGCGCGCTGACACACAACAAACCTTCTCCTGCTACACTTCTGTGGGATGACGATTTGATTGTTTTACTAGAAAAGCCAGCAAGTAAACGTTTACCTCTCATCCAGACGTTTACATCCACTCACACCACAAACAAGAAATCCAAAAAGGCCCGTTATGCAGAACTGCAGCAGCAACAAGGTGTCATCTGTGCTCCGGTCTTGGGAAGCGTTTATAATGCTGATTCTGTCCCCGTCCCCGATGTCTTTATTTAACGTGTCCCTGTATATTCCGCATCCTTTAACCCAAATCTGTTTCTTCTCTGTGACGTAATGTTTGTTTTCACGATGGAGCGCATAAAGGCTCATGGTAGGCTTATATATTTTATAGTTGACTTTATCTGTAAAACTGCTTATTTTTTATTTATAAATTATTGTTTTGGAATTGTAGTTATTCGCCAACTGTTATTTTAATGATTATAAAGGACTAAGAAGGAAAATCCCTTAAAACATAGCTCCATGAGTTCTGTTCACCAGCCACCGCTGATGTGGACATAAACAGCTTTAACTATAATGAATGATCACAAAGAATGGAAAAAACTAGTAAAGACTTCTATAACTTATGATATCAGCTTTTTTCATGAGAACCTTTTCAATGCAAACGGCAAAAATCATCACAGGACCAACCCAGAGAACCCACGTGTAACCAGAAAGCTGATATTCTAGAAGAAAACTCACTTTTTTATTTAATCGTGTTGAACAAGTAAAGCCTCAAACCTTTAGCTCAGCAAAACAAAATGATTGGCAGAAACATCCAGACAGTCCAAGCCTAATCCACGGCGCTTGCACAGTGGATCAGTGTTAATGGGATGTGCTTTTTCTTCTTTATTTTATTGCTGTAGTTTTATGAAAATGTTTGATTAAACTGAAAAAAGACTGAATCAACAGGCAGGACTGACCCTGAGATAGGAAATAAAAAACATCTAAGGAAGACAAAAAGAAAAGGACACGGCAATAAACAAGGTCAAAGAGAGTAGGAGAAAAGGATAAAAATGGGAAAGAACAGGAGGAGGAAGGACAATACGTGGAGATGAGAGGAGAGAGGACGACAAAAAGTAAGAACAAGAGACGGGTGCAGCTTTAAAGCCAAGCGAGGCGACAGAAACAGGAAAGGACAGCAATAAACCAAGGTGGAGGAGGTGGAGGAGGAGGAGTGGGGCAGCTCTGTAGGACACGGTGAAAGGAGCGAGCGGTTTGGCAGCAGCAGCGTTTGGCATTTGGATAACAAAGAGAGAGAGTCGGCCTTCTCTGTTCAGTCCACAGGGAGAGACAGGAGCCAGTGCCACACACACACACACACACACACACACACACACACACACACACACACACACACACACACACACACACACACACACACACACACACACACACACACACACACACACACACACACACACACACACACACACACACACACACACACACACACACACACAATGCTCAGCTTAAATAAACCTTCATCTCCCTTCTCAAGTTCCATTCACAGCCAGATGTGCCAGCTCAGCTAAAAATACAAATTCTCTGCATCTGACCGATTCAACAATTACTTTAATGGGGCGACGAACAAGGTGGACTTACACCATAATGTGTGTGTGTGTGTGTGTGTGTGTGTGCCAGGACAAAGGACAGGTAGCTGAACTGTTCCCACACCGACGTTCCAAACCTGCATGTGTTCTAGAATAAGATCCCGTCTGAATCTGCGTGAATCGTTAACATCCCGCCCAGCTCTCACCTGGAAAATACTCGCTCCGTATGGTGTCCTCCAAGCATTCAACAGATTGTCTTTTCCTGTGCTCACGAACCACTTTCCTGAGATTACACACACACACACACACACACACACACACACACACACGCACACGCACACGCACGCGCGCGCACACACACACACACACACACACACACACCCAGAGTCAGACTTTAAAGAGGCGTTCAGGCAAAATCATAAAGGACTGCGAGTGTTTTGCTTTTGTACCGCAGTAGGCGAACTTGAGTGAGAGGACGCAGCTCTCGTGGAGGTGCAGCTGGTATTTGTCCGGTTTGGAGACGTGCAGGACTTCCACGTTGCTGCTCTCCATCCCCACGGCGAGCCACTCGCCTGTCGGACAGTAGCCCAGAGAGAAGATCTGGGATTGAAGAGGAAACGGGGAGGAGAGGATGGAAAGGGATGTGAAGGGGGAGGAGGACCACGAAGGACAGGTGATTGAAATTGGAGACGGTGAATGGAGGTGATGAGAGTTGTTGGATGTCAGCGACACATGGCAAAGAGTTTGAGTGAAAACAAATAAAGGAAAGATTTAAGAAAGTTAAAGGGCACAGAGGGAAGGTGGCAGATGTAGAGAGATGAAAGGAGATGAGAGAAAGTCAGTACATGTTGGGTCAAAGTTCATCTGACCTGCTGAGGGTCCGATGTAAGTGTGTGAAACCACGATGGTGTTGATGAGGTTTTATGGTTAAACAAGCAGAACAAAATCTGCATTTGCTGAATGAAAACTTAAAATAAGTGTTTTAATAAACTTCACTGATTACTGAGTGTTCCTACCGGTGCGTGCCTGAGCTGAGCTGCCTTTCTGTTGAGTACCTGAGAGGTGAAGTCATGCTGCTGCAGCTGCCGTCCCTCCCGGAGGTCCCAGCAGCGGACCGTGTTGTCCAGTCCACCTGTCCAGAGTTTGGTGCCGTCGTTGGAGATGTCGATGCAGCTGGCCCCGTCGGTGTGGCCCTGGAACTGCCTGTGGAGAACACACACTAGAGCACTAAAACACACATCTGCGTAAACAGAAACGATGCAGACTCCTTTCTGCTGGAGGGGTCCAAACGAGCCTCTCCTGGAACAGCACCCATGCTCCCCGCCCATCAACAAATAATCCAGCCCCCCCCACCACCACCACCACCACACACCTTAAATCAGCACCATCTCTCTCATTTTTCTCTGTCTCCTTTTCTCCTACCCTGCCGAAACCTTGTACTTAAATCCTACTTTATCTTCTTGTTTGTTCCCTTGCTTTTCAATAATTTACCTCCCATTACTCTGTTCCCTGTCCTCTTCTATGCCTCTCTTGTTTCAAACTGACCCGAATTATTTGTCTGATTTCTTGTCTCACCTGACCAGCGTCTGGTTGTGGAGGTCCCAGACGACGATGTTTCCATCGCTGCAGCAGGAGAAGCAGACCTTGTTGTCAGGAGAGATGGCCAGAGCGTAGCAGGCCGGGGCAGAAGACGTTAGCTCCGCCTTGATGCGGGGAGTGGGCGTGGCCAAATCCCAGATGGACAACGTGCTGGCCTCACCGCCAACAATCAAGGTTCGCCCGTCGGGGAGGATCTTGCATGAGCGGATGTAGTTATCTCTGTTCTGATTGGGCACAATTAAAAGCCAAAGAACGTTAAAACTTGAACGAAAGAAATATGGAAATTTAAAAGCGTTTATTCCACTTTGTCCTCAGTGATCATGAATAATCCCTGTTGATGCCGAGTCAGGTGTTTTATGAACTCACTCATTTGCAGAGAGAAGTTGTGGTTTGGAAGTACATTTGTATTTTTAAGCCTTTTGGGGTGTTTTGTGTTTGTTTCTGTCTTTTATCGGGTCTCACCAGACAGTCCAGCTGGGCCATGGGACTCTTGCTTCCTGGTTGGCTGATGTCCCACACCTTAACGCAGCCTTTGCCTCCGGTGTAAACGTGGCGCGTGGAGGTACTGATGGTGACGGCGCACACCACCTCCCCATGGTTCAGCGTGTGGATCTGACGGGCGTGACGCGGGATTCCCGGACCCAGCAGGGCATCGGGGGGAAACGGCACCGGCTGCATCTGACCGTCCGCGCTCACGTGGAACGAGTAGGCACTGAGACGGAGACAGGAGGAGAATCTAAATAACCTGATTCTTAGGGATGAAAAAGCCGAGGCTTACCAATCAATAGGTGAGCGTGTAAAAGCGACAGGTAATGCAGAAAATTCAATCAAAACACATGAATGGTGGTGGGAAAGTTGCAAAAACTGACATCACTTTAAAAGCTCTCAAACTCGGGTAATATTTTCTCAAAATTCAGGCAATTACTGAGTTCACAGCAGCTGTGAGGGCAAATGCATAATGGCAGATTGTATTAGAGGGCAGGGTCGGTGTGCCACTGCTAATGGTTGATCAATACTGTAGCTGCTGGAAGCCTGAGCTGTTTTATGATTTCAAATTGGGAGCACAAGTATGGATTGCTGCTCTGCAACAGATGAGAAAAACACCACAATTCTTAGGTCACCCTAGACCATATGAGGTACGATGCACAGATTTGATTTATTTAGAGGTATTATCACGAAGTGCATGCACAGGGGAGTTCAAATGTGCTTCCTTAAAAATGTAGGTATACTTAAAAAGATTCTTTCAAAACCCAAAGATGGCTTTAAAGTTTCTGTTTTCTTTAAAAAAAAACAGATTAAATCACCGACAAGAATCAATCTGATGTGAAAGAAGCATTAGGATGTAAACAATGTTTTTTTAATTAGATATTTGAATATTAGCAACCGGTGCTTCCAAAAGCTACATGCCTTAAAAATGGGATCATGTTGAAAGCAGATTTTTGCAGCGAGTTTGAAAATAAAAAAAATTCTCCAGAACTAAGACAACCGCATATCATTTTATACTTAAAGCTGCACGACGTAAGAATGGCATCCTGTGCCCCCCCCCCCCCCCCCCCCCCCGCTTTTAATGTCCCTCTTATTTATATTTGGTTTCTTTCCATAGAAGGACCTTTTATGACATCCAGTGCTTTAGTACCGGGACTTTTTTCCACGGCAGGATGACTACCTGTAGTTTTTCTGGTCATTCATTAGTTCAAATCTCCAAGATTTCTAAAACAGAATCATCTGCCTGTCTCCAGGTAAATACCAGCCATCCACAGTCCCCCAGGTTGCTGTCACACACACACACACAGACTCTCACACACTCCACACCAGCAGACTGTCTCCAAACATTTTATCCAGTCCCTCGGACGCTCCTCGATCCACGGGTCCAACTTTCTTCATGTGGAAAAAGACGCCTCGTCTGCGTCTGCTGCCTGTACAGTATATGTTAGAGGCACTTAACCTGCTGTTGCTCTCCCACTGCCACGTCTGTTCTGCTACACGGCAGACACGCCCCTCCCGGCGCAGCGCCACACACACATTCTCTCTGCGCAAAAGGTGCCGTGAAGCGCGTACAGCACCATCAGCTCCGACAAGAGGAGAGAATTAAAAAGACAGGGCAAACTGGACCGACGTTTTCCGTCATGCCAGAGCTCATACAGGCGTTAATAACTTTTTAATTTTGTCTTCAATAAGTTTCAGTCTAAACGCCATCCTGTCTATGGATGGTAAAGTGTTTATATATCTGGGATTTTGTAGGTAAACTTTCTTAGAAGTGCACTCACATACTGATAACAGGCCATATTGTGTCTGTTTTTGCCACCCAGCCACTCGTGCATGCGCACAAAAATGAAAAAAGATGTCAACATAACTCTCCTTCTTTATGTTTTTTCTCTCCGTCAGTTTTAAAAATAGAAACCTGCAAACATTCCACGCAAACACACACTTAGGGCCTTGGGAGTGAGCACACCCAACGGCATTTGGCAGGGGGATTTCTCAGCCTCCTCCCGAGTGCCGGTGCCCACTTTCAATTTTAAACTGCACTTAGACACTGAGGGCTGTGGGTGCAAGTGGGGTGGTGTGGTGGCATCAGCTGGCATAGGCCAGACGATGCCCGCACTGCCCGCTCACCACAGCCATGGAATACACCTCATCAACAAGCACTAACACTGTATTGGAGCAGGCGGAGGGAGACTAGGGGTCTTAGCACACCTCTGTTGTCACTTGGCTTCAAGGGGTTGGAGGCTAGGAGGGAGATCTGGCCGTCTGGTTGGGGTCTGGGGTTGTGGGTTGCTGGGCTCGGCGTTGGGTGGGGGAGCCTGCTCATCAGCACCCCAGCAGAACGGGTCAAACCCTGGTAACCGGTAATGGTTGTACCCCATGTGCAGCAGTACTGGGACCAGAGCGAATAGGGTGTGTATGGGGAGCATGAGTGGGTGTCCGGCGTGCATTTTTGTAAGTCTTTGGTTGTTTGTGCATGTGTGAGCATGAGGGAGGGAGTGTGTGACTGAGTTTGTGTATGACTATATATGTCAGGTGGGGCCTTTGACTCCTCCCTTCTCCTGGGACTTCTTTTGATGATATAGATCTTCGTCTCCCCTCCCCCTGCCACACCTGGTGTGTAGTGTGGTGCCTTGGTCTGCCTGAGTGGTCGTGGCTCCCGGATCAGGGGGTTTAAGATTTTTGGCGTCTGCCTGATCAATCCCGGTGGCTGCCTGGTGGGATCTGGGTCCCTGGGCTCTGCTGGGTCCCCGGCGAGGGTGGTTGCCCCTGGGTCCCGGGTTGCTGGGTCCCGGGCTCGGCCGGCTGGGGGGTGGGAGGCTGCGGGCTGGCCTGTGTGTGCTTGCCGCTGATATCTCCTGGGACTCTGCCGCCTGCTGGTTGTGGCCCCCCGAGGCGATCCTCTGCGCCTCTCAAGGGGGGCAGGGGTTTTTCTGGTCGCGGTCTCCTTGGGGTCCCTGTGCTCTGGGACAGTTCCTGGATCTCTGGGACTTGGAGCTCCCTCCATCTCCTGTGCATTTTTGGGGGGCAGATCTGTGGCCCCTCACACTCTATTGGACGCTTCTATAGAGAAATCTTACATATACAAGCGCGTGTACGCACACAGGTGCTCACAAGGTGTTCTCATAAGTATGGACTTGGGCATGTTGAACAGATATCTTAAGGCTGTAGTTGGCACTAAATGCACTGTGATTTATTATCGTGTGATTGTTCAGTAAAACAATGTTGATTTTATATTTCCTCACCAGGTTGATGCAGTGATAGCTTGCTCCTGTTGTATTGTTGTGTGTCCCTTTTCTGTAGGTCTAGAAGCAGACTCTTGTTCATCATTGATTGTTTATTTCCGTGGACCCCCCCTCTTAAGTTTTTTGAAAAGAGATAAACTGACAATCCTGCAGCCGGCTGAGAAGGAAATCTGTTTCAATGTAACCTTCCTTCCAGCACGATTGAGACATTAAGACTGTTTTCTGATTACTTCACTGTAAAAGTCCCACTTCATGCATCTTTAAATAAATCTCCATTCATGAGGCATTCACACCAGCGGAAATATATCAAGTGCACAATAGATGTATTCACTTACGGCTTTCCACCAGAGGAACCAGGGAGCGAGGAGGACAGCCCTGAAGCTCTCAGGTGAGATCGAGAGTCATATGCCACCTGGTGGGAGAAAATAAATAAATAAATAAATATTCAAGCCTGGCTGGACGAGAATTAGAACTGGTATGAGGTTAAAGTTAATAGGGCTTGAATTCACTTTGATGGAGGAAAAAAGGATGAGTCCAAGAAACTGACTGACCTCTGAGAACTTTGCACTAACAGACACGATCGTGTAGATAAGCACATTAAATATGAAAATGCCAAAGAGGAATGCTGAGTGAAAAAGCTAACCCTGTTTCAGCTGCATCATTTATCTTCTCTGAAACCGTTGTTCTCTATGAAAGTGGATTAGGGAAAGTAAACATGACAAGTTTAAGCGTGTAACGAATACGCTGCACTGATATTGACAATGCAGAGCCAATTTATCAAACATTTCAACGGTGAGATGACAGTCGGAGGGGTCGGACCCGAACCATACATCAAACCCTGACAGAGGGGTGAACATTCGGCTCACCATGGGGCTGCGGGAGTAGGCGCTGGCTGCTGCACTGATCTGTGGAGAGAGAGTCAGAGCTCCTCCAAATCCTCCCGGGCTGGCCAGCTCCCCGTTCAGCCCTGCGTGGGACACCACGCCAAAATGAGCCGGGTATGAACCGGGGGGCACAGACATGGGACTGCGCAGAGCTGGGGAGGAAGGGAAAGAGGAAGGAGCGATTGAAGGCTGGGAAGAGAGACCAGGAACAATGTGTAGCGCTCAATCACAGTCACAGAGGTGATGAGAGGAACTTCCAAGAGAGATGTTCTGTTGTTTTGATCCGAACGACAGATCTGAGTTCAAATAACTGCTGAACAATACAACACCCAATCTTCTGAACAAACATGGAAAAGAGGGATCAGAGGAGATAAAGGGCAGAAGGGGCTAGGTGAAATCTCATCTAAATCAGAAGTTCAGAATTTAGTTTGGTCAACCACATTTATTCTTTTTGGTCAGAAAATAGATTATTTATTTAGAAAAACTAAAGAATAAAGAACATGAACTGTCTAACAGCTTGTTTTTTAAAGTTATGACATCAAAGTTGCTTTTCTGCCCTTTGTCAGTCGAGTCTCACCGAGTGGGTCGGCGCTGCTTGCTGCTTTGCTGACCAGGCGAAGGCAGGAGGTGCTGGGACCAGGAGCTCCGGGGGTAAGAGCCTCACGGTGGGATGGGGACGGCGTGCCAGATTTAGACAATGGAGACTGGGACTTATCCATCTATGGAGAAGTTAAATATGAAAAGTAACCAAATAAACAACATTGGAACAACAATTTAATAGTATTTCGTTGAGTGAGCTTTATTTTAAGGTGCATAAACTCTCCAGCTCAGCTCTTACCTGTGCAGAGTCCTTGGTCTTCCCGGGGGTGGGGCTTCGAGGGTTTGGCGTGGAAGGAGCCTCGCCTGTGCTCGAGGAGCCGGGGAGCTCCTTCCTCAAGGTTTGGGCTCGGTCCAGCCCGTTTCCATGGGGTGAGTGAGGAGGGCTGCCAGCAGGAGAGTTAGGCTCCTTCATGACAAAGAAGATTTTGTCAGATAATCTTCTAAAACCATAAAATTCTTTCCTGTCTTTGCCCATGAAATTTGCTTTAGACGTAACTTCAGCAGATAAATTATGTCATGATGTCTAGCATTACCCCAAATTAACATTTGTTAATTTATCTTAATCACAACAAAACCATCATTTAACATCCAAGCATGGCTTTAACTGTGTTTGGAAAATTTGTTTCTGCATAATTTAGAAATGTTTTTCTAATAAATGGATGACATCATGACTCTGACACAGGGAACAGACGAAATGACCGAGTGTAGTAAAAAAAACTTCCACTGTTTGACTATTAATGCGACTTCTGAAGGAATACATATTTTCTAATATATTATTCAGTTAAGTTGGATAAAAATGTATTTGCTTTATTTGCAGGAAAACCAGAACACCAGACGGTAATACTTCAATCACTGTTAGGGCCCATCCAAATGTAAGAAAACTTGAGGTGCTACTAATACATTCTGCACAGAGCAACATTTAAGTTATTATTGCAAATAAAAGCCGCACTAGCTGCATTTACGTGTGTGTGTTTTTTGAGTGCGTGCAGCAAATTCTCCCAGAGCAGAAGCAACATAAACCGTGGCGTCACCGTGTGCACTGGGATTTGTGAACGGACGGAAAGATCAGGGAACATTAGGTGAAACAGCAGAGACTGTGGCTGTTTGCAGCTGCAGCAGAGTGTGGACCTGGAGATAATGCAGCCGTTACAGATGCTTTCATTACCGTTGAGCCGGCGCCACCTCCCCCAGAACAGAGTGCTGGAGTAAGCACATCTCTGAGTCACAGTGATCAGCACAGACGTTTTAGTGCTAATGCACGCACACACACACACATTAAGATCACCCGCAACCACACAGGTACTTGCATGGTTTACTCATGCTTGTTTGTCTAAAAAGGGTTATATATGTGCAATACATGTTTAAACACATGCATGGATTTTCCTTATAGTAAAAATGTCACACAAACACATTCCTTTCCTTTTTGTTTCATTACTCCCATTTGGCCCCCACCCCCCTTTCTCTCCCTTTGTACCAGTTTCCAAATCACACAAGAGACCTGTTTTGCTTTTGTGTGCAATATCAAGATACAGAGGGCTTAGATGAAACATAGTTTTGTGCACAGCATGAAGTATTTAAAGAACTAAAATATTCCTGTGGCATGAATGGCTTTGCATATATTAAACGAGGCAGACCGCAGTTATCTAATGAGAGGAGGGAGGAGAGGTGAGGGGGGAAAGGAGACGAAGAGAGGAAAGGAGAGGAGCCTCCAGAATGCAGGAGGAGGACAAAAATACACTCTGAGGAGGTAGATGAGAGGCAATGGGTGAAGTATTTGTGAATGCATGCGTTGTGTCAGTGTGTGGGCATGTGTGTGTGTGAACATGTTTCACAAGCGCAGAGCACAAACAGTGGCAGCTGATAATGAGCTTACACAAGAGTTCTTCCTATTTACAAGGAAACTGCAGCGGGCAGCTGAACGCGCTGCATACCTGCCGACTCGCTTCACAGAAACACACAAAGAAGCAAGCAAAACAAAAGCAGCGCAGCTCAAAAAAAGGATCGTAAAAAAGATGAAACGACTTCTCCATTTGCTTATTTGTTACGATTTCCAAACAAAATCTGTTCAAGTCAAACAAAACAAATAATTCTAAAATTTTGACAATGCGCTGCTCTGATTTGGCTTTTGTGATTTGAAAATAAATCAGAGATGTGGGTCAGATGTTAAACAGCAATATTCTACATAAGTATGAATATTTTATTTGTCGAAACGTATTAGCTGACGTGTGTTAGAGTGGAGGATGATCAGAATCACTGCCTGCAGAAACAAAATAACCACACTTGATCCCTTAATCCAGGACAACTGTGTGTTAATGAAGACAATTTAGCTTCTGTGTGGCAGGAGCCTCACATTTATATTCTAGCATACAGCAACCTTCCTGTATAATGATACATCGGAGACTCAGCTTTTTAATTATGTCTGCTATAATTGTCATTTTAGGGTATAAGCTGTGTAAAATGAGAATAAAAACCAACAGAAATGTTAACGTTGCAGCCAGTGGCTCATTAGGGTGACCATCAACACCAGTCCTGAGAGCACGATCAGATTTAAATTGTTGAATGACAAAAGTAACCCTTGCTTCCTGTTCTTTAGGAGAGAAACTGGTGTAATACTTGATGGTTTTGAAGGGTTTGATGGAAAACCAAGTCCCACAGCAGCGAGAGATGTTGGGTGTATAACTTGTATTCATGTATTCACACCCACACAGCTCACAGTTAAGACATCATCACACTAACATTAGAGGGTAAAAATAAACAAACAAAAAATATATACAAAACATGCCAGTTTAGACATGGAGAGTCTAACTTTCCTGGGCTTGTTTATACTTTTACTGATGCAAACAAAAATAATGACCAAAACAAAAGATGAGTGGGTGACTGAATGAGAGCTTCATGTAAAACTCATCTGTTCAGGCTGGCTTTCACGTGAGTTCCTGCTCATCCTCGTCTTCCTCTAGTTTCTTTTCATGCTGCTGTTTCTGTAAAATCCGTTATTTTTTCAGGCTCTGCGTTTACTTTTTGATTTCTTCTTCTCATTCTTTCCTTTTTTATATTAATCTTTCATTTATTTGTCACTCATTTTTGTTATTATCTTTTAAAATAATGTTTTAAATTGTTATTGTGAAGCACCTTAGGACTGAAGATAGGACTTCTCTTGAGAGGTGCTGTATTTAAAAAAATCCTTTCTTCTTCTTCTTCTTCTGGCATCATTCACTAAAGACTTTCACAAACAAAATGTGCATTAAGTAAAAATGCATATAAAAAGGTTTTATTTGACCAGGCCTATGAGCAACTCTGGTCCTCCCACAGAGTTTGCTCCTGTGGGCTGCAGACAGATGCAGAATACTCCAGTCTGGTAAGACAGACAATCTTTGTGACTTCATTAGAGCATCAGAGATGTTATGGCTGCTAAATGTAGCTGAGATGAGAAGAACTAATATCAAACCAAGAAGACACTAACATTTGAATTCTCTGTAGATTTAATTTAGTAACTCTCTTTTCACGTGTCTGAGCAGAACCTCCCTGAACCATCTACAGGTGGTTCAGAATGCCTGTGCTCGGCTTCTGACCAAGTCCTCCAAACACACCCACATCACCCCGCTTCTCCTTCAGCTTCACTGGCTGCCAGTCAACTTCAGGGTTCATTTCAAGATCCTGGTTCTGGTCTATAGGGCCTTACATGGACAAGCACCTTCATACATTGGTGATCTTCTCAGTCCCTACACCCCCAGCAGGTCCCTGAGGTCCAGTGATCAAGGCCTACTGGTTGTGCAGCACCAGGCTAAAGACCAAAGGTGACAGATCATTTGCTGCTGTGGCCCCCAGACTCTGGAACTCTCTCCCCCTGAGCCTAAGATCAGTGGACTCCTTTAAAAAGCAGCTGAAGACTCACCTGTTAAAGCTGGCCTTTGTATGAACTTCTTCACCACTCTCTCTTTATTCTGCTCTCCCCACCTATTCCACCATCCTCAGGATCCACTGATTTCCCTCTTTCCTATTCACTCTCTCTTTCTTTACATTTTTTAATCACAATTGTCTATTTGTGCTCATTTTAAATATATTTTTAATCATTTTCTAAATTCTTTTTTATATTTTTGTTTTTGTGAAGCGCCTCATGATTTCTTCTTCTTCTTCTTCTTCTTCTTCTTCTTCTTCTTCTTCTTCTTCTTCTTCTTCTTCTTCTTCTTCTTCTTCTTCTTCTTCTTCTTCTTCTTCTTCTTCTTCTTCTTCTTCTTCTTCTTCTTCTTCTTCTTCTTCTTCTTCTTCTTCTTCTTCTTCTTCTTCTTCTTCTTCTTCTTCTTCTTCTTCTTCTTCTTCTTCTTCTTCTTCTTCTTCTTCTTCTTCTTCTTCTTCTTCTTCTTCTTCTTCTTCTTCTTCTTCTTCTTCTTCTTCTTTCTTCTTCTTCTTCTTCTTCTTCTTCTTCTTCTTCTTCTTCTTCTTCTTCTTCTTCTTCTTCTTCTTCTTCTTCTTCTTCTTCTTCTTCTTCTTCTTCTTCTTCTTCTTCTTCTTCTTCTTCTTCTTCTTCTTCTTCTTCTTCTTCTTCTTCTTCTTCTTCTTCTTCTTCTTCTTCTTCTTCTTCTTCTTCTTCTTCTTCTTCTTCTTCTTCTTCTTCTTCTTCTTCTTCTTCTTCTTCTTCTTCTTCTTCTTCTTCTTCTTCACCAGACTAAAGACCAAAGGTGACAGATCATATGCTGCTGTGTCCAGAGGTGGACTGGCAACCTGGATGTGTTGTTGATGGCACCCCTCAGTGATCTTCACTGGAGGATCAAGCAGAATGCAGCAACGATCAGCTTCCTTCTACCCGCTAGGAGAAGTTAATATTAGCGTGGAAGTCATCATCATACGCTCTTTAATTTAATATTAGTGAACAAAGTGGATTTTTTAATTGAATCTGCACCTCCTCCAAGTGATATTCCCCTCACCCAAGTGCACGAAGGCAGAAATGAAGAGGAAACACTGACACAGAGATCACAAGGCTGTGTGTGTGTGTGTGTGTGTGTGTGTCAGACTTATGTTAATGAAATGATTATTTATTTCACATGTTGGGAGTGAAAACTGACCCTAAAGCTTTGGCTAACAAAGACCCACCCTTTGTCTGACTAATGACTCGTTTGCCTACACTTTAAGCTTTTTCACTGCATCTTTTTTTAACCTTTTAACTAGATAATCAGACAACTGAGTGGAAACAACATCGTCCGTGAAGAATCACCACGCATTCTGTTCTTTTATATCATTTTTCCTTCAGCAGCTCCTGAGATAAAAATCAAACCGTTTAAGCCTCTAAAGCAGATGTTCAGAAACATGTGATTCAAAGATTTGACAGTTAAGTTTTAGTTCCTGTGGAATGGCCAAGTAATGCTGGCTCACTTCCTCTGTTTTAATGAGACTCATTATTTAGGTATTTATGTATTTTCTTACAGTTCTGCTCAAAATGTTAGAATATTGTTCGGCTGTAAACTTTGATGTTAAGTGTGTAATTTCTGGAAGCCAGCACCAATGCGTCCAGTATAACAGGCTGGCTGGGTCCAGATCGACTTGTTTGGTCTGGATCTGGACCAGAGTCTGGACTTTGAAGGCGGCTGCCCTTAAAACTTTAAGGTCTGGCTAATTTTGGGCGGGTTGCGTCCATTTAATCAAAGAGACTGGTGTAAACGTCTGCACAGAACCGGAAAGTTCACTTAATGACACCAACTCACCTCATTGGAGACGTCCACCACAAGATTGTCTTCACTCTTGTCTCCATCGCTGTCCTAAAGGAGGGAAAGGAGAAAAAAGAAGGTAACTAAAACACAATATTTCTCCAGAAAGTTTTTAGTTCGCTTCAGCAGCCGGAGTACAGTATACCGCGGCTGTAAATAAAGAGCTTTAATAATAAAGACACACAGAGCAGCTCAAGTGTGCACACAGATCGATACATCAATATTACTGGCTGCTCGTTGCTTCCTCTCCCCGTCTATCCTCCATGCAACATTAAACACACAGATATCGTTGACCATATATTTCCGCCAAACACCTCCCCTATACAAACGCTGGTTTGATCTCTCACACTCACACACTCCGTTTTCTCCATCTACGGCACATATTCTTCCTCTTCTCCCAGCTACATCTCTATCTTTATACATCTCTCTCTCCCCTTTTTTTCCACAGGGTGAGAATGATGGCACTTAGTCACCATGGCAACAACACTTTGATGTGATCGTGGCCTGATATTTCTATTGACATCAGCACCTAATTATGCACAGTCAAAAAAAGGACAATGCCTTCAGCCTCTTCCTGGAGGTAAAATAAATAAATAAATAAACTCAGTCGAGTGAGACAGAGAGGCACAAAAATGCGTGAGAAAATTACAAAAAAAAGATGGAATGAAACTAAAAGCCATAGTGAGATGGGAGAAGCTGTTATAAAGAGACAGAGAAATACAGAGGAGCAGGAAAAAGGCGAGCAGGGAGAAATGTGAGGTGAAATACCACTCGACAGATGAAAAGGAGAGAGTGGAAACTATTGCAGCTTGTTTCTGTTCTGGACTAATGGGGGAGGATTTGGGCTGTTTTTGATCGTGCCAAACTGATTTAGCCAGAGGCCGCCTTCCAAAGACAAGACAAACTCCTTGTGTCAATCAATCCTCCAGACTGCAAACACAGCCATCTAATTCATTACAGCTATCTGCCTTGGCTGTCTCTCCTCTGGCATCACATCCCCTCTGGCTGCTCGCTCTTCCCCGCCAAACCCATCCAAACAAACACGACTTTAAATGGCGACGGGCTCTCGGCCCACTTGTGGCCTTCAGTGTCACAGGCAATTTCATGTACCAAAACCACAAACACAAACATGTTTAAGGACTTAGAACATTTTTAGGTAAAGAAACACCAAGCTGAAAGGATTTCATTTGAAGGATTTGTGTGTTTTGTCACTTGATCTACTGATACTTTAGAAGCACCATTTTAGGGTCACAGAACTCTAATATTAGGAAAAATCTGGACTAAAGCAAAGGGAAAGCAAAACTTCTGCCTGTCTCATCAGATTGTGCCCAGCCTCTTTAGGGTATAGAAATAAGCTAATAATCCAAAACGGACCCAAACTTAGACGATCTCTGTGCTCATTAGATCAATCCATAACATGTTTATCCTTTAGATGAGACAGTTTAGGACAAAGACACGTACATAAGAGTGTGGCGGGAGGGACTCTTTGTCATCACAGCGTCTTCTCTTAGCCTCAGCTCCTCCTTGCAAGGAAGAGTATCCTCCTGATGGACCCTGGCGCTCCTCAGCGGGCTGGCTGTCTGTTGACGACACAGACTTACTCTGGAAGGAGGAAACACGACAACATGACGACTACGGTTGAATACCACAATATGAGCATGTGCATAAGCATAACATACATCTCACACACCCAGCTCTGATACACAGGCGCTGGGGTGGAGGGCTACTTGGGACAGACGCAGCACAAAAGCAGTAAACACGAGTTAAACCGTAGCTATGGCAGCACCGCCTATAAAGCTAATTAGTGCTCTGCCCTCCACACGCCAGTCCTCGTGTAAAATACGACCCTCATTACCGGGTAATAAAGCTGTGCAGGCATATTTACAATGCGGCCCGGCCCGGTGCTTAGTGCTAAAGAAATTCAATCGCAGCATTGTGCTGTTGGGGTAAGGACAAGAGGTTTGGTGAGGACCACTTGTCATCCTCTGTCCCCCACCCACAGCGAGTCACACAGGAAGGAGCAGAGCAGAGGAGAGAAGGAACACAATGGAGCTCCCTGCTACTCTCCTACCTCCTTTTAAAATTTCTACCACGAGGTTTGAAAAATGTCAGTGGATGTCCATCGTTCCTCTGCTTCCTCTCCCGGCTCGTCTGTCATCAACACTGTAATGCTTGATTACACCAACCTCAAACTCATAAGAGAAACGTTTTTTTCATCCAGTACTTAACAATAAGCATGTTGTTTAGCAATTAAGCTGAGGATGGCTTTGTGGACGGAGGGAAAAAGTAGAAAAACCCCACAGAGCTTCTATTTTCATTTCTCAATATGAACCAGAACAAAAGACGAGTGGCGTCTCCTTTCTCCTTCATTTTCCAAATTTACATGTCATGTGTCAGCTTCTAATCTACCTGTGATAGTGTGATAATAACAGCAAGAACAACATTAATAATAATAATAATAATAATAATAATAATAATAATAATAATAAACAAAGTAAAGCACCAGTACAATGTATGAATGATTACATTTAAAGGCCCAAATCATGTGTTCTGGTGTCTGGGTTCCTCTTCACCGCAGCAGTAACAGTTGAGTAACTGTTTTCTTACTCACTAATATTACAGTAAGCAGGCCCGTGTTGGGAAACATCCAATTAAATGGATGTCAGTGGTCTGTTAGGTAATATCAGCTGGATATTTTCTCATAAAAACATCTGCAACATCTCCACAAATTCTATTTAAACCTCTTATCCTGGTCCTGGTTTCTATAGACGGACGTTTGTTTTGAACAGTTTGTTATAATCCTTTCGTTTGTTCGGGTAATCTTCCAGATTAACAGAACATTGGCAGAGCTGAGAAAATGAAACAGTTGCTTGTTCTGTCCGTCGCTGCAGGCCCCACCAGTGAAATCAGCGTTGGTCTGATGAAGGAAACCTTGGAGGAGCTGAAGGCTGAGGGTGACGAGCAGCTTTCTGTGCTGCTGTCGAGCTGTGAAACTCCTGGCTGGGCTCCAGAAATAGACTTTGTTTTTTTTAACAGCGTGGCTCAGTTCCCCCTCAGTTTTATCACTGTCACGCATGTTGAGAGTACAAAACTCTTATATTAACTCATACTCATGCAAAACTACTCACCCTGCTGGGTGCTCCCTCTGGGTCGTGGTGGAGGACAGGAAAAGAGCAGCCAAAGGAAAGAAGAGAGACAAAGTTCTGCGTCACTTTTGATAGTAATAATAATGACAGCAGCAGAAGAGTCAGCCAAGGTTTGGATGAATCGGGTCTGCTCCCTTCTAATAAAGACACAGACCTGCCATTGAGCCTGGTACTCCTCTGTCTTTTCATCTCTTTGTTCTCTAACCGCACACAGCTCCTCATCTTTTCCCTCATCATCCTCACAGAGACACACAGCTGCAGACATGCATGAGACGCCCAACACGGTAACAAGAAAGCACCGGTCTCTCCATCTTTCTGTTTCTACTTTTTCTTTATTTTCCTCTTTTGAGAGGAAGTCTACGTTGGCTCAGTGCCTGAAACGCAGAGCAAAAGATAAGATATTCTATCGAGGGGTGAATGGAAGTTCACACGGAGAAGGCATTTCTTCTGCTCTCACGCAAGCGCCTTGAACGCATCAGATCATATTCTGACACAAATCTAAACAGGAAAGTTCAAATTCAGTCCAAAAGGTGAGTTTCTGTGTAGAAAACGCTGCCAACTACAAACAAGGCAGAGCAGATTTCTGCATTTTTATCTGGCCTGAAATGGTGAAACAGATCTTGTTCTTAAGCTGGAGATGTGAAAATGTCTAAGAAAATATATGTAATTTCAGCAAGCACTTAGCATAGCGTTGTGTGCAACCTGAAAAAAAATACTGCAACTGGCAAATTGTTTAATAGCTAAAAACCTAAACTGTCATCTTGCGTGTGGTTCCAGCAGCACTGGGGAGAGCTGGGGCGGGGGCATGTTTAACACCGAGTTGCATCATTTCTTTTCACAACACTTTGGCGGCAGCAGTAGCTCAACAGGTTGAGCGGGTTGTCCAGTAATCGGTAATCAGGTTCGATCCCGGCTCCGGACAGAGAATTCTGCTGTTGTGTCCTTGGGCAAGACACTTAACCCACCTTGCCTGCTGGTGGTGGTCGGGAGGAACCAGTGGCGCCTGTGCTTGGCAGCCTCGCCTGTCAGTGCGCCCCAGGGCAGCTGTGGCTACACTGTAGCTCATCACCATCAGTGTGTGAATGTGTGTGTGAATGGATGAATGAGACACTGTAGTGTAAAGTGCTTTGGAGTCCTTACTCTGAGAGGCGCTATACAAGTGCGGGTCATTCACATGCAACCGTGTGATTACTGTAGTGTTAAAAAGAGTTTCAGAATTTGAGCTCAAATCCAACAGTCTTTCACTTCCTTATTTACTTATTATAAAGCTCTAGTACTTTGAGTAGGATGTGGCCAGTAAGGAAGAGTGTTAATATGGTGACATACAAGGGTCATTGAAGAAAATATATAAATAAATGAAGTTTGAGGGGAAAAAGTAAAGTCAAAGTTTGCTTGCCAAGTTTTAGTATCCCTAAAGGGATTTATTTTTAACTCTACATTATCTTAAAGAGACAATGTGTAGTTTTTATCATTAATCTCTTGAAATATCCATCAAAATGCTGTTAAAAATGAATTGATGCCCATGGGAGCAGGTCTAAGTCTCTGGGCGACGCCATTTAGATGCCATGTTTGTTTCTACGGGAGCTCGTGAGGACAAAATGCTTTTACTGAATTGTATCAAACAATTAGAAAACTTTCACCATTAATAAATGTTCTACAAATTCATCTCTTCGCTTGCTGCCAGTGATGAAAGGGAATCTGATGTGCTTGTTATTGTGCTGAAGGTTGTTTTCCCAGGAATATTTTTACCCTAATGGCCATCCTTTAGTAAGGTCTTAAAATACCCCTTGCTTCCAATGATTTAGGTGTGTACTGCCCCCCCCATTTCCATGAAAAATACACACAGTCACTTAAAATATTTATGTGAACAAACCAGAATCCTCTCTGATGTTGAAAAGGCTTAAACTCACAAGAAACACATTAAAACAAGTAGTAGCTTAATTTCAGGTGTGTGAGTGTGTTGGCTAGAATTTGTAGATATGATATATATCACAATACAATATATTCAATATATTGCGATACTGAAAACGAGTTATTTGCCATTTTTAAGACTGGATTTAATTGGAAAACTCTGTCCAGACGCTTCCAACACCTGTTATCACAAGATCTCGTTATTCTGTCAGAATGAAGACAGTAAATATCTGCTGCCACCTAGCAGTTGGAGTTTGAATTGCAGCAACCAAAAGTATATAGTAAATAAAGTAAATGTTTGTATATAAATTCTCAATAAAAATGTATACACCGGTTTTAAATGTTGATTCGGTACCATGACGTGAAACATTGCGATATTTCAGTGTATTGATATTTTCAAAGATCCCTCTTTTATTCATCTTTAATTGTTTTTTTTTTTTTTTACAAAAATTCTCCTGTTTAGACTTTAGTTGGGTATTTTTCTGAGATCAATCATTTAAATTTGATAGAACAAAAGGCAATAATTTTCTGAAATTAAAGTCATACAGAAGTAAAGAGGACAGTTTTAACAAGTTTTTACAGGCTTGGTATCACATCTCACTTACGTAGACTTTTATTATAGGAAAAAGTTTTTTAACTTATCAAAAAGCAGTTTTCTTCACACTTTTACTTATTTTTTTACTTCTAAGACATTCCTTTCACACATTTAAGTATTTTTAATTGGAAACAAAATACTGTTCTTTACCTCGAAGATGTTCAGGATCAAGATGGTTTCTTTCATCTTTGGAGGCAAGGTGTGCCGAGACCCCCAGGGCTCCAGTCAGCGCCAGCAGCCCCGAGCCCCCCGCACCCAGAGACAGGCCTGATGGGTGCGGCGTCAGGGGGATACCAGGGGTGTGGTGAGACAGGTGCTGGAGCTGCTGCTGCTGTGGCCACAGGGGAAGGAGAAAACGGGGAGGGGGGTGAGGAAAAAAGAGTAAGAGGTTAGAAAAGAAAATGGACAAACAATTAATGATCAGCAAAAAGGAAGTGAAGAAGTTATGGAGGAAAGTAAACTTCTAGAAATAAAAAAGTGATGAAAGAACAAAAGATGATGAAAAGTGAGAGATACTGAAGCGAAGGGATTTATTAGAAGAGAAAAACATTGGAGGGAAGGAGGTAGAAGATGGCCGAGGGAAAACACAGAGAGAATATATAAAAAAAGAAAGAATAGAGGAACGGTAAAAACATGAAGGCGATGAAAAGTGGAGGAGGACAATAGGGATGAGAAAAGTGTGCAGGGCAGAGTAAAGCATGGAAACAAGAGGGGAGAGTAGAAGACATCTTCAGAGGAAGATAGAGAACCTGATCAAAGATTATTTTGGAGGGGATGGATGAGGAAAGAAGAACACAGAGAGCAGCTACAGATAAAAAAAAAGGCTATTATCCTGCAGGAGGAGGGGGGCATCATAATGTGTTCTAGGTGTTGTGTTGTCATGTTGATGCACACACGCGCGCACGCACACACACACACACACACACACACACACACACACACACACACACACACACACACACACACACACACACACACACACACACACACACACACGTCAGAGGGAGCAGAGCGTGTAGTGCTGGGAGGAACAAAGGGCTTTAGGTAATGTGATGAGACCTTTGACAAGCTACAGAAGCTGCATGTGCAGCACTCAGGAGCAAACTGGACCATTGATGCTCCATGCATGATCATGTTACAGCTCAGGGGGACTAAAGTGTTGCTCCGCTGCATTTCTTTTTGTTTGCAGCTTCAGAAAAACATAAAACATGTATCTAAGGAGGAAAAACCTTGAAACAGCTGTAATTAATGCAGCATACTGTTGCTGGACTATATTAAGAGGATTGCTGCTGATTCTCACAGCATATTTAAATGTAGTGCCATGGCAGAAGTCACTCCTTTCTTTCTTTACAACCAAGACACACTTTTCAATTGAGTGATTTAATTGGGACAAAATTATCAGTGTCTAAAGAATTCAGGAGGTAAATATTCTTGTCCACTAGGTGAGACTGAAAAGTCACATCTTGGTCATTATTTGAGCAAAAAGCTTCAACAGGTTGTTTGTAGATGATGCCTCCAGAACGAATGTAAGTGAAAAGATTTATACATTATTAAATTAATAGATAAAAGTCATAATCATTTATCCACACAGCTGTCAGACAACAGCGCCACCCACAGTCATGGCTCTAAACTTTACGTTTTGAGGAGTTTGCTACGAGACTTCACTGAGTTTGAATGGATTAAAGACCAAGTTCAATTTATCCTAATAGTACTATTATAATGATTTTTTTTTTCAAATTTTCATTACATTAAATTACATTACATTCATTTTATGTATTTTTACATGGTTTCCTGTATTTGCAGAACATGTACAGCCTAGAATCTAGACTGCAAAAGGATTTTCTTCTGTGTGTCGGTCTGGCATACCCTAACCCTCCACAGCTGCAGCCAGTATTATGACTGGCCAGCCACAGCACTATATATGCCAGGCGGGCGGGACATTAGTGCGACTGAGCAAAACTAATATGGCGATACCTCTGTAGCGGTCCGATCACATTACTCTGTTGGTGGGCGGGATGTTACTGAAAAAAGATGGCGAAGGCTCGTTTGAAACGGCTTTGGCATTAACTTTGGACTATTTAGACTTTGGCTTTTCTTTAAGTCAAGAGAAGATAGAGGTACTTAAGTTTATATATATATATATATATATACACACAATCACCAGAACATCAGCTGTGTATATATATATATATATATATATATATATATATATATATATATATATATATATATATATATATATATATATATATATATATATATATATACTTGCCAGGCTAGAACATAAATGCAGCTTAAAAACTAACTGTGTGTGCGACAGAAGTGTGTGTGTGTGTATCTGTGTGTGCACATAAAGACGTGCATGTGTGCGATGTCTGTTTTAGTTCTTATTATCTTCGTTATGAGAGCTGTCTTTAGGAGGGTGCGTTGCATCTATCACCAGGGAGCAGTATAGGATGAGAGAAGTATGTGAGAAGAGAGAAGTGCACGATGGAGTTAAGATGGATGCCTGACACTGCTACTTGTGACGCAAGTTCGAATAAAGCTTGGAAAATGAGTTCTTGTCAATTAGTGCTACTTTCTGAGACAACGGTGGACCACAACAGATTGCAATGACAATATATCATTGCACACTTTAACAGTGACAACAATCTTGAATCCTGAATATTAACCAATAAACTAGTACTCTTCAAACACTTTTTATTATTTATACTTTGTGGAGGTAATTAATGAGTGTGTTTCTGTCTTGTTGAGTTGACGAATGAAGGTGACTCACCCCAATGATGGCGTTGAGTTCAGCCATGGTGACCTGTTTGGCTCTCTCTACTGCTTGGACCACCTGCTGCTGGTGCTGAACACAAACACACACAATCACCAGAACATCAGCTGTGTATAAAAATAGACACAAAGAAACATGAAGGTTCCTGTGGTATAATAGAGCAGTACTTCCTAAACTTTTCAGCTTCACACCCACAAAGTAACAATGAAGACACGTGACTCCAGATTTCTCTGATTTAACAATACAAATGTGCGCTAAAGTAACTCAAGGCATGACAAAGACTGCTTCAGCTCATATTCAGTTATATCTATTTATGATAATTGAGTTGCATTTTCGTAACAATTATCTTAAAAACACAGCTTCAACAACTGTTTTCAGTTTCTGTAAATCTGTGTCCCAATGCCAACTTTGGGAACCGCTAGAAAAGAGGCTGAAAGCTAGCCTGTGCTAAGTAAAAAAATAAAGGTTAAATTAAATTGTTTCTGAGGTAAGCAGTTTAATTAAAACAACTAAACAACAAAAAGCTGCACAAACACAAATGAAAACACACACTGTTCACACAACACTCACTGAGATTAAACAAAATCTCAGAATAAACAGCATGTGCTAGCACACACACACACACACAAACTGACAAGAGCTTTAAATGTGCATTAAACTTTTTTTTAAACAGACAGCCCCTTTAATCATAGACATTTTCAACTGAGCTGATGTGCTTCCTTTGATTTCTTCATTTCAACAAACAACGTTGCATTTCCCTAAAACTTTAATTATTAGATGTGTTGACTGATTTGATTTTTCTTTCAACCACAAATACAGAGACCATGCAATTAACAAGTTTAATTTTCTGTAGACCCAACTGAGAAGAGAAAGGTAATGAGCCGTGCTTTGATCAATCTGCGTGCTTGCAGAAAGCTTTAATGAGCATATGAATTTCTTTGGTATGTTCTTACTGTGTTGCTTTTCTAACTGCATTGTTGGTTCTTTTCTGAAACACAGAAAAGGTTTCTCTTTACCTAGCTGACAGTTTCGTTTGCGGCTGCAAACATCCTCAGAGCTGATGGTGGCGTCACTTCCTACTCCGTTTATCCGCCGGCAGCAGAGGACGTTGTCGCCTTCTGCTGCCCGCTCTCCCCTCTCCGATGATGCAGTCCCATGCGCGATCCAATGTGTAAACCCCATCGTCTCTGTTCATGGTCCCACATCCACGTCTCCTTATCTCCATAGCTTCCTTTATCCATCTTTTGTATTTTTGTTGTTCGGTGTTTATGATCCTTGTGTTGTCCCAGTCCATTACATGGTTTTCTCTTGTGCATTGATCTGTTACGGCTGACTTCTTTATTGTACTTTCTGCTTCTTGTTTTGCTGCTCTTGTGTGTCTTCGACTTGTTTCTTTCTCACACTCCTTTCTATGTTCTATTGTTCGTGTGTTGAGTTGGCGTCCGGTTTTTCCTATGCATGTTTTATTGCAGAGTTTGCATGGTATTTCGTAAATGACTCCACATTTAAGTCCAGCTGGTATCTTGTCTTTTGGGTGTACTAGTCTGTTTCTAACTGTTGTGTCTGGTTTTGTTGGTGTGGTTATGTTGTGTTTTTCCATTGTTGCTCTTATTTTTTCTGTTATGCCTCTGATGTATGGTAGGGTTATCACTGGTTTTGGTTCTGGTCTTTCTGGGTTTCTGGTTCTTTGCTTTGGTTGTTCTTTTCTTTCTTACAACAAACAACAACATAAAGAAAAGAACAACGGAACGTCCTCTGCTGCCCGCGGATAAACAGAGTAGGAAGTGACGCCACCATCAGCGTCAGCTCTAAGTTTGCGGCCACGAACGAAACTCTCTGCAGCGAGGTAAAAATGAAACCTTTTCTGTGTTTTAAAAAAGAACCAACAATGCATTATATGAATTGCATCAATTAACACGTATATGCTGCATTTTAGAGCCATTGTTTAATATCTGCACATTTTAACTAATAATGTTAAGAACAATTTCACATTTTGTCATTGATGCACCTAAAGAGTGAATAGCTGTGTTCACTTTGTGTGTGTGTGTGTGTGTGTGTGTGTGTGAGAGTGCCTATGAGTGCGTCTGGCAGCACTTACCTCCTGAGAGAGGAAGGGGATGATCTGAGCACAGATGGCACTGAGACGCTTTACAATCTCTGCCTGAGATGGAAGGAGAGACAGAAGGAGGGAGAAGGTGATATTTAATCATGTCGCATATTGTGAGGTGGTAAGTACGCAATGAGCACAGAGCGTGCGACACACCTTTACAACACATTAAGCCTTTGTTGTATTCACTCTCTTAATGAGTGAGGTCTGTCAGTGACAGCTCTATGTGAACGAGAAAAAAATACAAGAGGGTGTGGGAGTGAGGAGCTGCCTTCATCAGATCTTTTAGCACCTTCACACCCTTAATTCTCTCTCTCTCTCTCTCTCTCTCTCTCTCTCTCTCTCTCTCTCTCTCTCTCTCTCTCTCTCTCTCTAATGCACAAACATATAAAATAACAAGGACATATTTTTAAAGCTCTGCTGTTTACTGTTTTGAAATCTGTTCATTAAAAAAAATCCAGTCTCTTTTACAGTGGTTAGAAAATGTTGGAAAAAACTGCTTAAAGTGCTCAGAACACAACTGTGTACATGTTACAATCACGAGCACGTGCACACACACACACACACACACACACACACACACACACACACACACACACACACACACACACACACACACACACACACACACACACACACACACACACACACACACACACACACACACACACACACACAACACACACACTGTGGTGTGTCTAATTCTATCTGTCTGAGTGCCCTCAGCCTCATTTTGTTCTCTTCTTCGCTCAGCCGTTCTCTCGTTCTCTACAGCAGCTCTCACACTGAGCCATTATTACACTATTCATCCTCTTCCTCCCATCTCTCTCTCTCTCTCATCCCTCTCCCATCGCCTTTTAGCTTTGTCTGGTTTCCTCTCATCTTTCTACTTTTCTACATCATTTTCTTTCTCTCCATTATAATTTATCCTCCCTCTTTTCCAGCTGCCATTTTTCTTCCCCACATCAGTTTTTTAGTTACTTTGCTTCAGACACTTTTCAGCACTCCTCCCTTCCTTATCCCTCCATCTTCCTTGCTTTCTTTCTAGATCACTCCATCCTCAGTAAAACAGGTTTCAGGCACTTGACTGAGAAGGAAGTCAGCCAGCTTTGGAACGACACAAGAGCAGCTAAATGATTGATATCCTTACACACACACACACACACACACACACACACACACACACACACACACACACACACACACACACACACACACACACACACAAGCACGCACACACACACACACAGCCCAGTGAAGCCTGTTTGCAATGATGTGATCAGAAAATGTCTGATGTTGGATTAAATGTCTGAGGCAAATCTGACCGAACTGACCCAATCAGGCCTGACCTTTAGTTTCATCTACTGTTTCTAATGGAGAAAACTATTCTGCTGAATGGCTCCTAATTGCCCTAAAAAGAGCAGAGAAGAACCAGAATTCAGGTAAAAAGTATCTCGCTTAAAAATGTGGTCAATTTGAAAAGACTCAATAAGGGAAAAGGCCTTTGAGCAATTTTCAGTGACAAATATCTCAATAATGTGTCACAAAGAGGAGCAGAAAAAGCTTCAGAGGAAAATAAATTTACTCCAGAAAGAAGAGACGGTTAATTCAACTGAAGGACTTTCAAATGATCAGTTCAACAAATATTTTTGCTTTAAGCAGCATCAGGTTTTATGACAGTAAATCAGATGATCTTAAACTGACATTTCCTAAATCATTACATCCTAAATGCTGTTCGGATTTGTTAGCCTGGCCAGCCATGCCAATGCTTCCTTATGGGAAGCAAAGGGCCCGGTAACATTCAAATAACCCCACCCCCCAAGTCAATCAGCGCTGAGCAGCCTACGTCACACACCACGATGCTCAGTTTCTCATAAGCGAAGATGGCGTCTTTAGCGGAGTTCGCTGTGGCTCTTTCCTCTGTTCTACATGACTTGGACGTGTCTTTAAAACCACAAGAAGAAAGATGTTTGTGCCGTCACCAGATGTCATCTTCGACTACAGCTAAAAAAACTACAGCGTCGCGAGGTACAGTCGTCATTTCTGCCTTTTTTCTGATTGGTTATTTTTGAGCCGCCTAGTCCCGCCCCCTCACAGTGCTCTCTGCGAGTCTGGCAGGTCAGGCTACGGATTTGTCAGTTCTGAGCTTCCTTTGTGATTTTTGACCACCTATTAGATCCAAACCTATTTGCTCTGGTTTATTTTTGTCCTTATTTGTTTTTATTCACTTTCGACATTTTGTTTGGATGAGCAGTGCATCTGTGTGGGATTATGTGTCATGCAATCTTTTTTCAGATGATTTGGCCACATTATTAATCAAACAAATAAACGAGCTGTCCAAGTTTTTCCCTTCGACAAACTCAGCAAAGCATGATAAAGTGTGACTCATCTTAGAAAGGGTTATGAAAAGAAAACATCAACTCTTTCATTCGGCAGTGTCTGAAAAGATAAAAGTGGTGATGCACTGATTTCTTTTACAATAATTTAAGTACTTATTTCCTATATTTATTCTACTTTTAGCAACTGAATATGTTGTTTCTCAGAACCTTTTCTTTTCACTTCCTCTCTCTTTCCGCTGCTCATGCCCGTTGGAGGCACCAAAACAAAATATTCTGTGCTGCAGCCTGAGCTGAACCAGGTGTCAGGAGCAACACATCACAGTTTCATCCCACAGCCGGCCAAAGCGCAGCCACCAGGGAGTACTGGCAAAGACTGGCCGGATAGAGGGATGCCCGAATGGGTTCGTACAAAGCAAGAGAGAGGACTCGTCAATAAAACACCTGAGGGCAGAAACGCTGCCAGCTGGCGTGGAAACAGATAGCAACAGAGAGAAGAGCTCAACGTGAAACAGATCAAATACAGGTGGCAGAGAGAGAGAGAGAGAGAGAGAGAGAGAGAGAGAGAGGCGAGAGAGAGAGAGAGAGAGAGCGAGAGAGAGAGAGAGAGAGAGAGAGCGCAGGTTTTCCACCAGAAAATTTAGACCAAATGTCAGGAAGAGGTTAAAGTAAAATACATGCAGCAAGTTTGTGCTTTACTCCAGGAATAATAATCTGCAGCACAGAGCCGTTTTTTTGGTGGAGACTGATTTTTGTTGAGTTATTGCTGCATTTGCACTGATTTAACAGTTAAGTCATCAAAACATAATGCATTAAACACACAACCAACTTAAAATATCTAAAACAAACAAGCATTTTTAATCTTTTTATTTAAAAAATACCAGCCAGCTGGATTTTAAATAAATGATGATAAGTGGCCCACACCTGTGTAGCCCAAGTCCCCACAATGCGGGTCTGAAATTGAAGTCAGTGCGGAAGTAAAATAAATTACAGTTTCACCCTCATCCTCTGGGGGCTGCTGTCAGAAACGAGCAAATTCTCATTGACTGCCATGTTAAAAATGCCAATTTCACAGCAAAAATAAACATTGGGCCATTCCTATCTGTACCGGGTCGGCCCGGGCCGGGTAGCGTAGGTTGTTTACATATCTGGGTGGCCTGGTATTTTTCCGGGCCAACCAAGGCTCATTCTCAGCCCTCTTCTCGAGGGGTCTGCTTCAGGCCGACCAGGGCCAACACACCCACTGCTGACAGCAAATTCACACCTTCCATTAGAGCAAGCCTCTGATTGGTGGGTAGAATCAGCCCACATGGGCTTAAGACAAGGATGTGTGGAATCAACCGGGCCAGGCTGGGGCCGACTGGGGCTACCCGGCCCGGGCCGACCCGGTACAGATGGGAATGGCCCACATGTTTACCGTCTGGTTCCAAAACATGTTTTTGGTTTAATAGATCTAGTTTATACTCATGACAACTCTGAGGGGGGGTGAATTTTTTTGTCACTCTTCTGATCAAGTGTATTAAATGCCTAAAATTCTGTATCATTAATGAGCATCAGACCCACGTGACCACATGGAAAGGCCTCAGTAGCCTCAGTCCGAGCCTCGGTCTCACCTGAAAACTGTTCCGCAATTTTTAGTCTCTGAAATTAGACCAGTAGTTGTAGTGTTTTGTGTATTCTCTTTTGGATATTTTTTGTGCAATTGTTGGACAAAATGACTTGCTGTGGTATTAATTGCACTAAAAGAGCGTCCAAGGAGTCTCCACTTCATTTTTTTCGGTAAGTAAAATTATATTTATGTATTTTAGGTCACTGTCGCTTTTACAATAGCTGAGCTTATCAAAGTAGCTAGCTAACTACCATTTTAACATGTACTGTTTCACCATGAAATTTAGATGTAATACGGTAAAATAATTAACAGGGTATATGTCGATGGGTGTAAAACCCAGTGCATTTAACATAAAAATGGGTTGAAATATGACATGTTGGTGGAGCTCTCGGAGGGAGACTTCTGTGTTCCATTCTTCCACCCGGTTCTCCCCAGCGGTCAGCCCGGCGCATCTCTGATCGCTTGTGGAGCTCTCGGACTTGGAGAGAGACCTGACCACAGAAATACTACAGCTTGGTGAGTTGGTTGATAGTGTTTGATGTTAGTCTCCAGAAGTCTGTATGCCATCAGATAAACTCGCTCGTTGTTTATATTTTTTAGTGGTGGGGGCGACTAAATAACTAATTTGTCCACAAAGAGCCGCGACCGGGTGCCCTGTTCTCATGGGAACTAGTGCAGTTTAATAAAATGGAAATTAGTTAATAAAATTGCAAGAGACATGGCAAAACTGATATATTCAGATTTCAGTTAATGATCCCAACATTGTTTTCTTACAATGCACTGCTAAATTCAGACACCTGCAGCTTGGAAAACTTAGAGCAAATGTCTAAAACTTTCACTTTAGGGCAGGATTGTCCAATCAGATCCTGGATTGCCACTAGGTTAGTTGTTTTCCTGCTCACCTGTTCAGAGGCTCATCGAGCTCTGCAGAAGCCTGTTAATTACCTGCTGATTGAAAGCAGGTGTACTGGAGCAGGAAAACAACTAAAACATGCTAGTGGCAATCCAGGATCTGGCTTGGATCATAGTGACCCTCAAGGACCAGGACTTCGCACTTAGCGGAGATGCCTTTAAAACCCGAAAATGGAGTCAGAAGATTTTTTATAAGT